ACTGGATAATAAAAGCACCAGTAACACTGGCTGCAACCAGGCACTACAATATATACGGATGTTTGGAGAGCGTACAGACTCCTACATAGGCTTGGTTATGTGAATCGTGTTGTTATCCACAAGTAGCGTTTTGTGCACTCAACAACCAGAGTGCACATATTGAAGCACAATATTGAAGCTATGTGGTCGAGGTTGAAAGAGTTTTTGAGACTTTATCATGGCTTCAGATGCCGACTATTCGGTAGCCGTATAGATGATTTCCTCTACTGCATGCATTAATATTTTAGGACCTCTGAACCTCTTTCTAACCTTGACAAATTTTTGAACCACGTATAAGAAGTGTATCCACTTTATTTCCTTAGTTTTGTATAACATATTTTTACTCTATACTGACTGCGTGCTGATTGGCTAATATTTCTCAAGGCCACTTAAGATTCGTCCAGAGGTCGTCCATTAATTAAAGTCTCGCTGATGAATTTTAATAGAGTTGACTGTTTTCAGTAGTATAGTTCATCTAATGTGAGTTTAAATAATCTAATTTCTACAGAGAAATAAAATAATGAAAAACTCTCACGTTATATAAAACATTTATCTTAGCTGTTTAAATTAAATTTAACACTTTCATTTTTTTCTAATGTTATTGCAACACTACTGTTTAAGAAAATAAACACAAACAGAAGTGAGCAAAGACGTACAGTGGCTAACAGTGGAACCCAGTTTAATGCGCGTTTCGTCCTATTTGGGACTCGTCAGCTGGATGGACCTGCATTTCAGAGTTGACGTCCACTGTGGGATTCGAACCCAGTACCATTCGCTTCAAACACCATCGCGTTATTCACTCAGCTACTGAGTCCTGATAGCCACTTGCTTGTGCAATGGGATGGATTTAAATTCACTTGGTAGTGTTTGGCTTGTATCTTCCCATTGAGGTTTAAGACTGCAATTGATCAGTCTGTTATTCATCTTTGCTTGTGAATTAAGGCAATATCGAGGCATACGCACAGTATGTACATATGCCAATAACAGACTGATCAATTGCAGTCCTAAACCTCAATGGGAATATACAAGCCAAACAATATCAAGTGAACTATTTAGATAGTTTCATGTACTTAATGTTTAGTTTTAGATAAATTCTATTGATTTAGGTACAATAAATCTATTAGGGTTTTAAAAAAATGAACTTTACAGTGTATATCTTTCTTTAAACTAAGGGTTCAAATTCAAATTAGCAGATATTTATGAACTAAGTTTTCATTGAATTAGCATTTATCAACACAGTAATAATAAGTCTGGTGTCTTGAAAGGAATGATATTTTACGTGGAATGTTAAACTTTTATTTCTGAACTCTTAGTATGGTGTATCAGCTATTTGTGTTTGGTGAAACCTTATTTTTGAAGTTTGGTAATTCTACTGGTACAAAGAATGTCGTTTCGAGACGTATACACCCACCGCATAGACACTCAGTCTATGCATGCAGACGTCGCACCTAGGACAAGTATAAGCTGCATGCATATCAGTAATACATAGGTTTTCACTTATCCATTCCACGGTATACGAATAGGTATACTAGCATTATTAGTAAGGTAGATGGTCACCACTCCCTTCACTTTTAACTGATAACCATCCCGTTTTTGTTTTGTTTGCAGGTTAGTTTTTTTGGTTAGGCAGCTTTATTGACAAAGGGCTGACTTTCTAGCTTGGACCAGTTTGGATGAGCTCTGCAAGCACAGACTTTTGCATATGCCAACATACACAACTACATAAGTTCAGATCCACGAAGTGTATATATATATTACGATCATAGAGCCTTGAAATTAGGTCTACAAGTAACTCAGATTACACCAGAAAGGTGAATTTGTCCAATCCCCACCGACCGCTCAATTTGTTCAATAAGGTCACCCTCATTATCCATCACGATCACGGGGAGGACTTAGGTTCGATTTTACTTCCAAACTCCTGGTTAAGCTTTTTTCACTTGATTACATTATCATTTCAGTTAACATTTTGATTTTAATTGGATTCCAGATGTAATTTTTTTGAATGTGGCAGAAAAGTTTGCGTCTGCCTAAGCTGTTAACTGATTTTCTTCAATAAACTAATATATTGTAATTTGATACCTATATTTGCTAAAGAACATGAGCGACTGAAGAACGGAACTCATATAGTAGTTGGAATACATACTATCCAGGAAATTTTGAACAAATCATTACATATTATATAATCACATAAATCAATATGGATTATCATTCAAAACACCTTCCAATTGTTGATAAATCTCCGAAATACTTTTAGCCAATCACATCCAGCATGTAAATTCCAAAAGATTTATGTTTTCACCAAAGCTGACCTATCAAAATCATAAAATTCTACTAATTTTCACAACTGCAAAGACTAGTTTTAGGCACAAAAATAACTTTTGATCTATATATTATAACTAACCATAGAGATGACAGTCAACGAACCAATCTGACAATTACGATCATAAGCAAATAGTACTCACTACTATAAAGCAGTTAACAGTTTTAACAGAAGAGAAAGACTTGGAATTTGAATACTCTGTTTCATCAGACATTTCAATTTACAATGTTATTTTTTTTCAATTTATCTCTACTCAAAAATAATAGATCCTGTCAACCATAGTCACTTAATAGTCACACGTAAACGTTAATTTCAATCTCACTGTTGTACGAACCAATAACTTTATTCAATAATCAAGAAAGAATTCAAACTCATATCATAAAATTTAAGTGTTCTCACCATTTATTTATATACTTACTGACTTCTTGATAAACAGAAGGGAAATAATTTTCTCAGTAGGGAAAAATGCTGTTGTATATATTGCATATAAAGAAAGATACGGTGAATATATTCATTTTTATCAGTGTAGTTCAATTACGGTCATATATTACTTTTGAATAGAAAAAGTTTCTTATCTAAGGAAAATTGTGGACTGAAATTTTCTTTCTGAAGAAGACTATAGTAATGGTAAATGTATATACTAACTCAAGAAAAGACGTTTTTATGTGCATACCATCTTGCTGTATTGATAAGCGGTGGTATGTATATACATTTCTAATCGTAGCAATAAATTTCTGCATATATATATATATATAAACATTTTTGTGATAGTGAAATTCGAGTGAAACGCGCGTCCCGGATTCCACTGCTAGCCGATATTCATCTTTGGTTAGAATGTTTGTGAATTAAGGCAATATCGAAGCAGCACGAACAGTATGCACATGTACCAATAAGAGATTGATCAATTGTAGTCCTAATTATCAACCGGAATATTCAAGTAAACAATATCAAGTGAATTTAACTTCAGTCATTGCAAAATCAAGTGGCTATCAGGACTCAGTAGCTAGGTGGATAGCGCGATTAAGTTTAGAGCGAACGGTATCGGGTTTAGATCCCAGAGTGAACATCAACTCTGTGATGCAGTTACATACAGCTTATGAGTTCCAAATAGGACGAAACGCTCGTCAAATTGGATTCCACTGCTAGCCACTATCCATCTTTGCTTAAAAATTCAACTTTGTTTAAATAAGTAAACAAGTCTAGTACATTGTTAGCTTGATATTATAATGCCTAACAATTCTGTTAAGCCTCAATAATAATTAGTCGAAAATATCTGTAAGAGTTTAGAATTCTCATAGTCGTTGGTACAAAGGACTGTAATCGATCAGTCTTCTATAGAATCCTGAACAGATGATGTCTATTTTATTTATATTTTAGGTAGAAGATTTTAGTACAGTTGGAGCTTAACTACTAGTAAAATCCAAGAAGCAAATATTTGGAATTCATTCTAATATATTGAATTGCCAATAAATTTTTATAGAAATTCCTACTATTTGAATATCGGATAATGCAGTTTAGTGCCAAATACTAGATTAAAATCTCAATGTGAGCATTCAAGTAGGTTTAACTTGTAGTGACCTACTTTTATCAAGAGAACGTGATTGGTGTAATGGAAACAATTATTATTATGACCAATTGTACCAGGGATGGTTTTACCGTACTTGTTTGTTTAACTGTACCAAAACACATACATTCTTCCGTCGATTGTGATCTTGCACGAATTCGATTACGCTCAGTAACCACACTTGTAACCTGGCACGATCTCGGTATTCTTTCTATACCATGAGATCGCCAACAAATACATTTCGACTACAGCCATCAACTGCCTTCTGATATTTGGCTTACGGGAATCTTATCGGTTAACTGACACGTAGTCTTCCTGTAGTGGTGATCATAATCGACTGCGACTCGACGCCTCACTACAAACTAATGGATTCCAAAGAGAATGAAGTATTTAGCGACTTCTAGTTCACAGTTCAACTATACTAACAACTTATAATCAAAAATATGTTAGTACATTGTATGATCTTCAGTAAAATCTTATAGATATTTCTAAAATCTTTCGTTCTTTATTGAGGCTAGATATATTGGTAATCTTTTTAAATTATGGAATTCACGATAAAAAGCTGAACTAATCAGACTTTTATTATTTTCAAATATCTATTCGTTTCTTATGTGATGCTCAGTTTTTAAAAGTGAAATTGTTAGGTTTTTATGACTATATCTATCTAAGATGATTTTAATAATGTACTTCTTGGGTAGGGAGGTTAAAAGAAATAAACCGTACACAGATGTCTCGAATGTGAGGAAGGTGCCCATCTAAGAAAATGAAAGATGGTCATACAATGTCCTTGATTAATTGGAGTTAGATATGACTTTTAAGTGTCCAACTTAAGTGTTCAACTTGAAACAGATGCAAAACGGCCAAAGGTCAGCGCTGATCACACATCCTCATTTTCTGACACTTCATCCGATGTTGGTGATCTCGAAGATTTTTCAATACACCGGACTCGTGGGATTCGGAAACAAGCAATGGGCCTACTACTTTTTGAGCAAATGAAGTGACTGAGACTACTATCCGTCAACTTACTGTATTTCTTGAAAAACGTGCTCTAAGCTCCCTGACCAACCTAAGCGTTTTATGCAGTCAAAATTGGAACTACAAGAAACACTAGAGGAGATGCAGGTGCTTGCAGCCAATCCAGAATTATACCCAATCTTAGCAGAACAAACACGTCCCATATCATTATTGTTAGGTTTATTAGCTCATGAAAATACAGATATTAATTTATCTGTTATTGATCTGTTGCATGAATTACTTGAATCTAGTTGTTTACAAGAAGCTGGATTAGACAAAATTAATCAATTTTTAGAAGTTTTGTTTTCTGGACAATTGATACAATCACTTATACAGAATATTTCACGTTTAGATGAGACGAAGGAAGATGAAGCTGACGGTGTGCATAAAACACTCGAAATTGTTGAAAGTTTACTAGAAATTCGTCCGGATATGAATGTGATAGTGGCAAATCAAGGTTTATTTGCATGGCTTCTACGACGTTTACAAAAACGTTCAGTATTTGACAAAAATAAATTATACGTTAGTGAGCTATTATCAATCTCATTACAAATGGATGAAGCTAATCGTCTTCAATTAGGTGAAGTAGACGGTATTGATATATTGTTGCAACAATTATCTGTTTATAAACTACATGATCCTGGAAGTCAAGAAGAAATTGAATTAGTGCTTAATCTATTTGATTGTCCTCACCCGTGTTCTGTTCATTACATTCTGGAGATTTTAATATCAAGCATCACTTAAATGCTGTCATACTGATGTTGTCTCATATTTAATTGTTTTAAATAAGTTTTTTAAATTTCATGTTATTTGTTGTTGTCCTATGAGTTAGTTGTAACATTTTTTTATTGATTTAAGGATAGTAATAATAAGTGTTCCATTGATTTCTTAGTATCTCATTGCCAGTATAACTATTCTCCACTGAAACCAAATAGAAGCTTAGAACGTTGTTATTCATTGGCACCTTTCCATAGTGCAACTGTAAGTCATGGGGATGATGTTGAACACAGTCGTTTGTTTTTTATAAATAGCTATGCACTTTCTGCAGGTTGATTCAAAAGATCGGATGGATAAATGGGAACTATTATGATATAGGAAGCTAACATTATAGAGATCGACTGTTACGAATTCGACCACAGGACTAATATTGTAAATATTGGATCGGTTAGAACTGATTTTCGTATTATTACTATTTATTTTTTTGCTGCATAATCACTGACTAGATTACTATATCTATATGTTCAGCTTGTCACAAGCTTTCATTTAACCCATTAATGGCTGTTATACGACTTACTATTCTTAATTTGTCCCCAGTCTACTGCTAACAGCTTCCCCTATCCGCAGCCACTTTAGGGTTATTTGTGTATGATTGCAATTTTTCATTCTATAGTGTGGTGCTATCCGGTATGTTTGTATATAAACCCACGTATGCCTAATATATAGTAACAATAGAGCTCCGTCTGCCAACTTCTCTCTTGGACTTAAGGGATAAGATAAAGAGAAGCTTTCTTTGGACTTCCTCTTTCCCACTTCCCCTCAGGATTCCAAGTCAGGGCTTGACTCGTGATGCAGTTTGGTGATTTCCGTAATGTTTCAATGTCTTTTTCTAATTTCCTCTTCAACTCGAAGCTGATTTGTTTTCTCTTACAGAAGGCTGTTGCTGATGGTATCCGCCCAACGAAAAATGACTATCCTGTGTAGATAATTGTTTACAAATGTGCATTTTTGATGATGGTTATAGTAGTTCTCCAAGTTTCAGCTCCGTACAATAGGACTGTATTAAAGATTTTCACTTTGATATTGGTTGACAGTTGTTTTTAGTTCCATATGTTCTTCAGTTGTAAGAATGCTATCCTTGTTTTGCCAGTCCTCGCCTTTACGTCAGCATCAGATCCTCCTCGTTCATCAATGATACTGACCAGGTACGAGAAAGTTTCCACCTCTCCCAGAGTTGCTTCATCAACCGTGATTGAGTCGGTACTCACTGTAGTATATTTTAGAACATTAATTTCTCCCCTGTGTATTTTGAGGCCTACTGTTGTAGACAGAAGCTGTTTCTACACTGATTGTCCTGACCTGCATTTGTTCGTGTGTAAGGGATAGAAGAGTTACGTCATCAGAAAAGTCTGAATCATCGAGCTGCATCCAAGCTGTCCATTTTGTTCCGTGCTTCTCTTCAGGTGTCGAGGTCTTCCTAATCCAGCCAACCACCAAAAGAAAGAGGAAGGGAGAGCGTAAGTAGTCATGTCTGACTTCGGTCCTCACTTGGAATGAGTCTGTCAGCTGTCCTCCATGCACCAGTTGCACTGCAGTCCATCGTATGAGTTCCATTTTGTGATGTTAACTACTTTCTCAGTTACTCAGTTCATAGTGTTGAAGAAGGTTCCACGTGGTTCGCCTATCCACACTGTCAAACGCTTTCTCACATTTAAGCAAGTTGATGTATAGTGACGAGTTCCATTCACTAGATTGCTCAACGATGATCCGTAGTGTCGCGATTTGTTCTGTGCAAGACCAGTCTTTACGGGATCCGATCTATTGATCTCGAAGTTGGTTGTCCACTGAATTTTTCATCCGGTTCAACAACACTGTTGAAACCTTTTCATGGTGCCAATACTAGTGTAATTCGCACGTTTCCTTGTTTCTCCTTTAATTGGGATCTTGTTGAGATGTCTTTCATTCCACACTGTCGGTACTTGTTCTGTGGTGGCATTGGACCCTAACCGCACGAGCTTTGAAGCCAAGCATAAAATTACTGGAAAGATTTATATTCACCAATTGACATGAAGAGAAGGCTAACGATGGAGAGAGCGGGAATATTCATCTAATTCAATCGCATGGTATGGCTCAACATCACAGACGTGGTTATTGTGTATAACTTGTCTTTATTCAGATTAAACATATTATCCTATCTTTAGCTTAAATGTGTTCTTCAGAAGTACTGAATATCATATTGTTAATTTTTACGATACGCTGAGTCAATGTAGATAATGATGTGACTTCCACGTAAGATCTTATAGACTGGGCAGTCACAACATGACATATCTACAATTATAAGATTGGGTTTATTATTACAATAATACTAATAATGACTTAGACTACAATTCTACATTGGTAAGCCCGACTAAGGAAACGCAGTCCTTTTATTAGTCCTCATTTTCACTCTAAGTTTATCAACTGATTTTTACTTATGTTAACCCATTATTCTATTAGTTCTCTGATTAACGCTCACGTGTATTATCGTAATGCTATATTGATAAGTACCCATAACCTGTTAGTTCAATCGATACTAATAACAGGTAATCTATATTAATTATTAGCTACGATGGTTCATTAACAAGCATTGATAGCATTTACATGCTTCAGGGAAATAAACTTATTAAAATATCAAGCACTTGCAAACATAGCCTTTAATTGACTCATATTTACATTGGCTAGCAATGCAAGCAAAGACTGATTAGTTAACTTGACCTAGCTCTTTATCTTGTTTCTTCTAACGTTTTACTCTTTTTCAAACCATGGACTATCCTTTTCTTCTGATCACTTCCTGGTTAATTCACAATTTTCGAGTTCCATCGCCAAACAACAAAGATAACATCCCAAGAAACTTACGATGAGTTTAAGCTATAAAGTTTCTGCAACGTTGACCTAATTTTAGATGGTTCATACAGCGATAGCTACATATGTGTCTGGACTCTTGGGTTTGTACCATTTCTCGCAACTGTTTTTTATACGCCATATCCATCGGATAATCTAAATACTGAAAATGATCCAGGCGAGTTTGACTATTTTGCTGGATGATTTACTCTATTTGTACTTAACATGCATATATTTTCACTTAGACTAACCGTAAATATTCCACACAAACCACTTTCAAAACATTTTTGGCCAAGTTTATTATTTTTTAATTGTAATATTCCTCATCAATCAGCATGTTAACCTCACCTGTACATGCATTACATTATATCTCTATGTCTGTAAAATTTAACAATCATTTGAATCTTCTTTAACATTTTCACTAAACCCGTCATGGTCGTCATTGTTATACGTATTTGGCTTTAGGAATTGGGCTATCACAATTGCCTAAAAAGACGTTGAACATAGTTCAGATAATAAAGTCACCCACATTAGGTACTATCGTGCTGCACTGATACAATGAATAAACCATCACGTAGTTGTTAGTTAAAAATGTATTCAAAATAAACCCCAGAGGGTACTATTAGAATTAACATCTAGTGAAAAAATAATTCTAGATCGCAATTGGTAACACAATAATTCAGCTTCGATCCGTTGGTGCTACATTCGTCTATTATTTCAGAATCACCTAAAACAACAATACTTGTTTACCACTGGCTGAACTTAAATCCATTCCTTATGATGATGCTTGTTGCGGCCCAGAACCTCCTGACACTTTGAAGTTAATGCTTCTTTGATCCCGTTCCAGTTGTCCTCCATTGTAGTCCCATCTTCTCTCAGTAAATCCTGTAAGGCTTGGAACGTGTTTTTGAGAGTTATCTCGAATTCACTAAGTTTGTAAATATCTCAAGGGAAGGCTGTATTGAACCTTTGTGACGCCGTTTTTCCAGGTTTTCAGTGCTTTTTTAGCTTCAGTTTTATCTTGGCAACCACCAGGAGGTGATCTGAAGCTACGTCAGCTCTTCTCCTGGTTCTCACATCTTCCATGGTCCTTCTGAATTTTCTACTAGTGATAATGTGATCCACTTCACTTTGTGTAGTGGGATCCGGAGAGACTCATATAGCTCTGTGCATACGTTTGTGTGGGAATATTGTGCCGCCTATAACCAATTTGTTGAGTACACCTGGGCTCGCGAATCTCCCCTTATTCTCCTTTCTCTCCCCCACTCCATGTCATCCCATGATATCTTCATATCCGGGGTTTTCCATTCCAACTTTGACATTCAGGTCTCCCATCAAGATGGTGAGATCCTTTCTTGGGCACTTCTCTGTGTTTGATTGCAGCCTCTCATAGAACTGATCTTTGTTGTCGTCGTTGCAATCATAATTCTCCCTTCGACTCCTAGGATAGAGTTTAAATGTTTTGAACTGTTTATTCTGTTCAGGGTTTTCTTAGCAAGGTTGTTTTCTACGGTATGAGGTTGCCGATACCATGTCCAACCCTTCTCCTTTACCCGGTTATGGGACCCGCAGTAGCCCTAGAATAGCTGCAGGAGGATTTATCAGACCAAGTGAGTGAGAGATTAATTTTTAAATCCAATTCCACCGGATTTGTTTTACACATTTGGATGACTAATCCTGAATCCAAACCCATCAGGCTTTCCACATGTTTTCGTCCATCTGCCTGTTTGTTTATCTTATCAAGTTAACTATTTGGACCATTATTGATTGGCATACATTTACTACAGAAGATAAATCATTTCAGCTTACTTCATCTTCAAATCCATTCAGTCTAGATTAGATTACCAGCTCAACAGGACTGAAGATTATTTTAATAAATTACAAGTCCCGGTTGCCTTACTTGCAGTATTTCGAAAATGTGTCTTACAAGAGTAGTTCAGACTGGGTTAACCGGGTCTCCACAAGTACGCATGTAAATTCAGTTCGTTGAGGCATTCGGCTCTGATCTTTTGGCTTTATTCTTGCTTTGGGGTTAACTCTTTTTTACTAGGCTTCATGAAATCCTAATATTGAGGGTTTCAGGCGAACTTGTATCTAGAGTTGCGGCATATAACCATATTTACGATCGTCATTAGTACACTCCTGTTTAGTTGTGGAATTTGTTTGAGTTTGACATTGTTTGATTTGGGGTAGTAAATCTATCAAGTACCCATATCTCAATCATCCCATGGTTTGGAATTTAGGATGTAACAATACTGTCCCTAAAATATTCTATATTGGATTATTGATGTTAAACAGAATAGCAACACTCTGGTAACACACTTTAATACGATAACTGGTCCTTCTAAAGCCAACGTTGTTACAACCTGAATACAAACTATTGTTCGATCGAATTCAAGTGTCATTCAAATAATATTTGAGTCCAAGCCAGTTCTGTTTCTGTTCCTTTTTCCTAC